ATTGGTTGACCTGTGTAAGCATTTGCTTATTTGTCAGTCTATGCGCAAAAAAATAAATTTTAAAAGCTGTATTGAAAATAAGATGGATCTTAAGATATACTAATGTGTGTATTATGAAATGGTTAATTAATTTTTTAAAATATTATGTAAAAAAATTAAAAATAGAAAAAATTTGTATTTGTAAGGTACAATATTCATAAAAAGTTTTGATATTTTCGTAATCATCGAAACTCGTTAATTGGGATAAATGTGTAAAAAATACAAAAACAAAAATTTGTAAGCAATTTAGAAATCGCATGGTATAAATAGAATTCATTCCTCGGTTGGTCTACAATATTCCCTGGTTGATCATATTAACAAAGCTATAATTCTACAGATTCCCTTCTGCTAAGATCAAAACAATATTAACATTACACGGGGTGAGTTTCATAGTTGTGAGGTAAATTGCACGGTTCAAATTTTACAAATGTTCGATATCTAAACTGCACCTTCTCTATGTCTTTATGTTCTTCGGTTTGATGTTCTCTCATTCAATATTACCACTCTAATCGGGCCAAGTTAAAAAGTTCGCAATTAATCATTTTAAAATTAGCTTTCGTAAAGTTGACCCGTGAACAATGGTCCTGCTTATTATTATGAAGTAAGTTGGGCCATGATTTCCATATTAATTTTCAAAGCAAGGTATAAAGAGTACAAAGGATCACATCGGACAACAGAGAATATTGAAGCGTTATCAACGTGAACCAGGTCGAAGAACATACCGAACTTGTTTGAAATTGAATTAATTTGGTTAAGATCTAATTCCGACATTTCATTTCAAACATAAGCGAGTACTAACAGATATGTAATCATCAATAGATATCCATGATACACATGGTAAATTGAAAAGCATGCAGCACATGTATATATATGTACATATGTATAAGTCCGATTGATGCGGTATATAGTATATGATAAAGTTAAGGAAATATGACCTCTATTAACGCAAATTCGAATGCACTTAAACTCAATGAAGTCTACATGAGGAGCATCAACTTCTTTAGATGCAGTTGAAGAATCCTATATTCCGGTCATATCTAAAGATTTCAAATTCGCTATAGAATATCTCATTATCAGAAATGTGGCGCTTTAGCCAAATTACAATTCTATTCAAATATAATTCAGAGTTGACTAGAAAAAATGTCCGGTTACCGCAGAAATTCACCTTCACCATATGTTTCATTCTATGCTCAGCTGTTCATGCGCCACTATTAAAATTTCTCCCTTCCGAGCTAACAGTAGGGAAACTAACTCATCTTCTTTTAGATTTGCGCTAATCCGCAATTGAATTTTGTCTATAAATTTACGTTCTCTTGTACTGTAATCAGCTGGACAAATTGAGTAATGCATTTAAACAGAAGAGAACTGATCTTATTATCTTTGGATGGAAGTATCTTCACCTCAAATCAGGACGTCAACAAGTACTTGGACTAATTTTTTGTTGCAACGATCAAAAGTTTTATGAGCGTGGAATCAATCTCTTGCCCGAAAGTTCGTAAAAAGTATTTCATCAAAATACAAAATATAAAATTCCATAAAATAAGTTACACAATAAAAATCGTATTTAAGTTGCACTAAAAGTGAAATTATTTAGTGCATGGCACAATATTATTTTACAGTATTGTTCATATTTTTTACAATCAATCGTAATGTCTATATGTATAAAATAAAGTTATGAAAAATCACGTTAATTTGAATTTAAAATTGCCTGCGACATTTGAATTAATTTGAATTACTAAGTTTTTCGAGTTGATACATAAACTTTCGTAAATATATAAAAATATATATATTTATAAAAAATATATAAATTCTTTAAAGGTATATAAAATTGGCGATTCTGTATGAAAAATAATTGAGTAAAGATTCACCTACAAACCAAAAGGAAACTTTTCCACATACTTTTATTAATATATCACCCATATTGACCACCATAAATGTTTTAATGTCAGGTACTATACTGGATATATTATGGTTGACGGAAGAACTGATTGGATTGGAGAACATCTTTATTTTATGAAGATACAGCATAAAGTCTGCTAAAGTAACAAAACTCACCTCTGGAAAACTGTGAAGATGGGTAAAATCGGACACATTCCTCTCCTAATGGATTTGTTGAAAGCTACTAAAAAATCTCAATATAATCGCGCCTACTTCCTGCATATAAAATTTTGAATTCCATCTGATTATTTTATATTTCAGTATATACTATAATAATAGCAAATCGAAATTCAATGACGTTATCAAAATAAAGCGAAAGCCGTTAAGTCAAAGAATTGAAACAACTATACTGCGTAAATAAAACATATTTTCTTATATAGATCTAATATTTTAAATTTTTAATAAATTTGTAGAAATAAATTCCATCTTGTGTGGTATTAATTTGGACACATACGAGTACATATTATATATTGATCGAAATCACCGGAATGACATTCCAATTATCATTATTATTTTATGAATAATTTTATCCTTTTAAACTCAGCCTTACTTAATTATTTTATAGTACAAGTTTCCACCACCATACAACAGAGTATACTTTTATTTGTATGCAATTTCCGAACATCATTTTATGCGACTCACGTGTCTTTTTGTTACCTGTTGTGAAAACAATGCACATCCGAGGTTTTGATTCACTTTCCATGCCCCTTTTGAGTATCGAAACACATCGAGTGTGTTCATTGGTGTGTGCTTTACTTCGTAAGTAAGTATTGTGAATGTGAATTTGTTCCGGTACCTTGCTATTTAAGTTATTCATCCGTAAACACATTGCTGGTTATGTGTTTGACATGATTTGACGGTGAATCTGAAATGTTGATTTTAGTTCATCAAATGTTGATTGGTAGAACAAAGTATTTTTTAAAGTCCATTACGCCTGATGAAATATTAAAATAATTTAACATTAAATGAATACATGTCAAAAGCCGGCCGATATAAATGAAGGGTGCTACCTTATATTTATTTATTTCCAAGTTTGAAGATTGCCACTTTGTTACACAAAAATAATACTATTGATCAAATACGATTTCAACTCATGGATATTAAATTAAAGATACATATAAAATGATAACATAAAATAATTAATAGGGTGTACGCGAGTTATTTTCTTTTATCGCTGATGTTGGATATTCTTTCCAGTTTCTTAAAAGATGTATGCTCCGTCTTATCGTTAGCTTGTCAAGAATATCAACCTATCGTGCAATTTTTTGACCAAAAAGGTGATGACGCTCCAAAGCATAGGAGTAAAAGAAAACCATTTGCGGGAAAAATTTTTAATTAAACTGAGAACAGAATTTAAATTCAAAGATCAACAACAAAGGTCTAAGATGATTTTTTGTTCAGTCTACTCATTCAAAAGTTAATGAAGCACCTTAAATTGTAAAAGAATACTCAGAAAATATCTTATGTTTTATGATTTTTTTGTTTCCAATGTAGAAATGTTCTTTTAGCAAGATTGAAAAAACTGGAAAAATACACTTTACAAAAATAAAGTTACAAGTACTAAAAAATAGCAAGATTTAACGATTTTTATAAAAATCAAACCACACAAGGTCTCACTCAGTAAAAAAATGGGAGGAGTCAATAAAATTCATAAATGCAAAAATTATATTTCGAATCATAATTCAAAAATGTGTAAAACTAATTTAAATATTTTATTGATTCATATTACTACTATTGTTCTAGTCGGTTTCTTTAATTAATTGGTTGGATCATAACTTACTCAGTAATCACGCGGCCAAAAATGTAGATTTAGACGAAACTAATTTCCAAATACAACAGTTGCTGCCAGGCTATCTGATGTATTTTAAATCATTAGCTCCTCTTGTTGATAAAAATAAAAACATATATTAATTATCTGGAAATACCCGACATGACATCACATAATCTTCGGTTGAAAATTCGTTCACCAATGTATTATTTTTCTGCCTGATTTCAATCCGCCTCAATCAAAAATATTACAGGAAAACTTATTGTACCAACCATTTTCACTGGAATTTTTTTTTTGGAAAAACTATGCTCTTGACACGGTAGAATGTACGATACGATTAGAGCTGAATTTAAATGAATTTTAAAATGTTTATAATTAAAAACTTTTTGATAAAAATGAAGGATGATCTACGCTGTTTCAGTATCTCAAATGGGAACATGATGTAACAATTTTTAAAATCATTTTCAAATTTGACATTAATGTTCATATTTTAACCCAGCCTGTTTTTACTGTATTGAATAGTTTATAATTAATGTGTACCTCAGCCAGGGCCGGGTTTAAATTTTTGCCGCCCTTGGGCACTGGAAAAATGCCGCCCGTCACTGAAATTTCACTCAAAATTATTTAGATCTGATATTATGTTTTTAAAAAATTAAAATATTTAACGTATTGCAAATAATTTATTATATATATAATACTTCAGTATAATATAAAAAATATATGTTCTTGTTATTAAAACTACAAATTTTGCACTGAGCTTGATTAATAATTGTATTACAATAATTTTATCACTTGTGAATTGCAAATTGGTCGCTTAAATCCTCACAATCTAAACGTTAAAGTACATCTGATTCGATGCATAGAATAGCTAAGCTTTCAGTACTATATTTGCACTCATTGTAGAAGGTAAGTAGTTTTTAACTCAAACAAGAAAACGATCGCTCTGCGCTACAGTTTGTTACAGCTATAGTAATAAATAATCTCTTTGTAAAAATCATTTGCACTCAAAAGTTTCAGAATATCGGTAGGTGAATTTGGTTCCATCTTTCCTTCAGTGCAATAAGCATGGAAGTGCACAAATTCGTCCTCCAATGAGGATTCAAGATCTGAAGAACAAACATTTTGTAAACGTTTAGCGCTGTTACGAATCTCTCTATTATCCAAATTGCCAAATTCAATAATAACTGAGAACTTCTCAAGAATCTTTTCATATGCAATACATCTTTTTCGCAATTCGGAATCTAGATTGTCAAGAATGACATTAAAAGTGTTGATTCTAAAGTGGTCTCGACCTGACAGTTGTACATCTTCTTCCCGTGATTCATCGGCATGTAATTTTCTCTTTCCTTTTCTAGAAACTGTCGTTTTATATTCTTTTATCTTTTTAATATTTTTTCATAGATTTCGAATTTATTTCTGGTATCAGCAACAACTTTGATCAAACCACGATAATCGTCGATCACGTCAGCAATGCTACAATCAACTTTCTGCAATCTTTGACTAACAGCATTGAATCGTGAGAGTAAAAAATGCCAAAGTATCTGCATAAATGCTGTTTCAAGTCGTTCCAATTGAATTCGTAAACCTTTAGCTTCTTGTCTTGTAATTGCATTTTCTTCCATTTTTTCTTCAATAATAATCAAATTCTCGATTATTTCGTCGAAATGTTGATCAAGTACATGAACAGCTTCTTAACGAGCTGACCATCTGGTTGCAGATAAAGATTGTAACACAATTCTTTTTCCAGTATGAAATTGTAAAACTTCTCAGCGGTGCGTCGATGCATTAAAGAAGATATCTAAACTCTGTACAGTATTAAAGAAAGAAGCAGCGTCCATTCTACTGCCTGAACTCCAACTAAATTCATAGAATGAGCAGCGCAAGGAGCATGTTCTGCAAGATCAAAGAATTCTGTAAACCTGAATAAATTCCTGATACATTGTTAGCGTTATAATATGACTGACTTCGACACTCACCGACTGTCAAGTTTTGATCAAAATCAAAAAACTCGAGAATCGATAACACAGCAACTAGTAAATTTTCAGCTTTATGTCCAGAATTTTCAATGAAAACGTTCAACAGGCGTTCCATCTGTTTGCACGTATCTGATAACAGACGAAAGTGGGACATGACATGAGATATATCAGGTGTGAAATCTACAATAATCGCATAATATAACTCGTACTGCCAGATCCTTTATTGCCAAATTTTCGAATATGCTCTTCTAGGAATGGGTCAAAAGAAGCAAGAAATTCAATCAGCAAAATGCCTGTTCGTCAATGTGTGCGAAGTGCAGCCGACCGTGAGTTTTATAAGTAAACTAGCTGACCCCGCAGGCGTTGTCCTACTTGAAATTATGTGTTTGGAAACAAAAAGAAAGTTAAATTTAATATTTAATTTTTTTTCAATGTAACGCATATAGATAAACAACATTTTTTGGTTTCTGTTCCGGTGTACAAAAAAGATGATTTTCCAACTCGTGACCACGCCACGTATATTATGCCACACACTAGGCGACTGTCCTTGTGTCCTGTTTATTGTCATTTCAAATGCAATTTTCACTGGAATCGGAAGAAGTTGGAACTAAAATTTTAAATCGTTAGAACTCAAAGGAATGCGTAGAATCAAGCATTCTGCTCCCTTGTATTCGATAGCTGCGTCACAATCAAACGAGTTCCATTACACAGTTTCGGCGATTGAAGATTGCGGAACACAATAACGACAGATCCAACTTTGAGACGCAAATGATGCGGTGGCATACCACGCCTCTCCAAAGAATTTAGAAATTCCACCGGATAATTTACGGCGCCGTCGATTTGTATGCGCGCAAGTCTCCTAGAATTTGACTTTGAATCTTCCAGTTTAAGTCAACAACATCGGTATTTTTGGCAGATAACATTGCGTGCGCACTTAAGGAGGGAGCCTGCTTTAGAGGATTCAACAAATAAGTTTTTTTGAGGATTTTTTTGGGAGGGGGAAAAAAATGAAAAGAGATTTCTATTTTTAATAATCCAAAAAGAGTGTAAAATGTTACAAATTTTTTAAAAATTGGGAAAAAGTGGTTTTTGACCAAAAAAATTTAAATTTATGTTGTTTAAAAATATGACTTTGAATTTTCTTAATTTTTCTTTAGTTTAAATAGAAGATAATTTAATGCCAAAGATAGTAAACTTTTCCCCATTTCCATACGACATTTAGTTTTTTTTTCTATCCTGCCCGCCAACTAAGCAAAATCGTAAAAATAAACAGCCGAGAAATGGCGCATCAAAGCTTTCGCTTTCTGCCCAATCGCTCATATTTCTGCTGGACGCTCGGTCATTATTTCCCTTCTAGCTTCGAAAATACCTCGAATTCCCATCTAAAACTTTGGGAACATATTCTTAGATTATTTTTAATGAGATTTAAGCCAAACAAAAACATCGATTTTTTGAAGCTTATTAAGCAGGCTCCCCCTTAATAAATCGTAGTTACGATAATTTTTCCAATGTCCGAACATTCGTGATGAGTTCATCTTTCGTGAATTGATAAATAGTGGATTGATTAGATATCAAACCACCGGAAGTATCAACCAGAATTGACCCATTTCCAATCCTTAGCGAATACGATATAAAATGTCTTCGGCAATGTCATTTTGGTTGGTATCCCATAATTGACGCGAGTTTGAAGGCTGATATGTCAAAATGTTCATCGCGGAAAGTATGCTACCTTCATTTGCATTCGAAGTAGCTTTCGCATCGTACATCGTTTGATTCCAGTGACTATCATGTTCCAGCTGGCTCACTTCTCAAAACCCTACACACACAGTAACATTCACAGTACGCAATGACTCAAATGACGTTGACCCGCTTACATTAATCAATAGCAACCGAAGGTAGAAACAAACCTTGTTTTTCGGGTGGATTGTGTGAATTTGTCCTAATACTTTAGTCGGTAACAAATCTGTGGCTGTAATGTAATGTATTCCCCAGGTTGAAATACACTTTTTGGCCATTCTCCAAATTAACTGCAGGAAAACGTTCATGAATTGTACAAAAAATATCCTACTAAGCGCTTTATGGTAGTTCACGTATCGACCGTATCGTTCAAGACCAATAACCGCCATCTTCCTTCCTTTGGTGACGTACTTACAAACGTATTTTAATCGATTTCACCAAAATTCAATACTAAAAATTGATACAGTCGATCTCTTTTTAACACGGTTTGCCGGGACACAAATTTATCCGCGTAAAAAAACCCACATTTCAAACAACCAAAATTCCACATGAAACTAAAATTTGGGGAATTAAACAAATTTATTTCATATGCACATATTCGCTATGCGCTATTCTATATCTTTTAATTTTATAGAATTTGGACAAAAAATCATATTGAGTTCAATTACATATATCCGCTATGCATAAATATTTTAAATCTGTTTTACAAGATTTGTGCAAAAAATCACATTGAGATCAATTGTAACTTAAATTATATTAAACTACGTACAAGCAGTATTTTAGATCTTAAAATAATCGGTTAATAATCTTTGGGGTTTTTTTTTATGCATCTCTTTATATAAATCCTGGTAGCACTCCATAGCGTTTTTAAAATCTGTACGAAACTTTGATAAGCGTTCATCATTAGGATCAAGATCTATAAAATGATTTTCAAGTTCAGCAGCTTTGTCTAATCCTTCTCGAAGTAATTTTGACGAAAGTGAAACGGGTGGAGAGCTGACACCATCTTCTGCATTTTCAAGGTCATTATTATTATCAATTGCATGAATAATTTCGGCATCGTCTAGAGCATACATTAATATCGTCAATATCCATGTCGTCAAAACCTTCACCGCCGAGGCTTTTGGCTAATTCAAATATTCCGCGTAGGTAACAAGTCCTTCATTATCACTTTCTTCTTGTAACAAAACATCTTGACAAAGATTTTTCCAGCATTTACTTAGGGTGGTTTTTGTAATATCCTTTACGGCAATTTTAATACAATCGATACAATTCTTTACATTAAAATCTTTCCAAGCAGAAATCACATTAATTACGGAATTACTTTCCAATTTATTCAAAATGAACCTAAACGAATGCTTTATGTAATAAATTTTTAAAGCTGCAATGATGCCTTGGTCCAGCGGTTGCAAAATATATGTTGTGTTTGGGGGCAGAAATAGCACTTTAACGTTTGGGTGTTCAATAACTGGATGTCCAGGTGCATTGTCAATTAATAACAACACTTTAAATTCCAAGTTTTTAGAGATCATGTATCCTCTTACTTCAGGCAGAAAACAGTTTTCGAACCACTCCTTGAAAAGCGATGCGGTCACCCAAGCCTTTTTGTTTGCCATCCAATGTACTGTCAATTTCTGTAGATCCATTCCTAAAATCGGAAACCATAAAATTTTTGCAAATTAGCTATTAATGATTAAAACTTACCTTTCAAAGCTCGCGGCTTTAAATTTTTGTTCACTAATAGAGGTTTTAAAACCTTGTCCCCTGATGCATTGCTACACAGTAAGAGCGTGATACGCTCCTTTGCTGTTTTAAACCCGTGCACCGATTTACTTGCACAAAATTGTTTCTATTTTGCATATTTGAACTGGATGGTTTTTCGCATTTAAATTTTTCATAAAACACAGTGGCCTTTTCTTTTATGCACCTAGTATCCACAGGAATTCTTCTATGGACGAGGTCCTCAATCCACCATACAAGCGCGCGTTCAACTTTAACCATTACGACATCTCTAGTGTTGAAGTGAATATGTAAGGCTACTGGAACCGCATTCCGGAAAGTTTTCCTTATGGTGTTTTCCTTTCTTTTAATTGTACGAACTGATGATTCGTTMATTTTATGCCTTTTGGCAATGTTTGCAGGTTTTTCCCTACTTTTTAAAAAATTTAAAATTACAATTGTTTGCCTAAGGCTTAATCTTTTGCCCTTAGGTGCCATTTCGCGGTAATTTTGTTTGTTTTCGGTTTGACATTTGGTTCTCTTTTACATGGTTGCAGGTTTGCATTTTTAATACGARCATACATGCTTATATAAGGCTTAGACTTTCAATTTAAACAGCACTTGCAAAGCGCACTAGAAATAAAACAAAAGGAAAAAATGAAAACTATTCGCAAACCGCGTTAAAAAAGTTAAACCGTTTAAAAAAAGACAACGGGGGATTGTTAAAAACTCCGTTGTTAAGAACCGCGTTAAAAGGAGATCGACTGTATGAGTTTTGAATGTGAATTAGACAATAGTGGAGAACATAGTACGATCCATGTGTTGCCAACGTCGATATTCACTCTTCTAAGTTGAATGATCAATGTTCTGCTATTGTTATCTGGTGGGCGACGCCGATAGATTGGATATCCATCATTCCAGTTTGTGTTTCCAGAAGAAAAGCACATGGATAGTGTTTCGTGCATTTATTGTCAGATATACAACACGAAGTGGGATTGTGGTGTCCGCAAGGTCCATGCACCATATTGGTTGTCACCACTTCGTATAATACTGGATATTTCTCAGGATCAGGAATTTCCGCAGA